TGACATACTCTAATGTCAGACTATCTTTCCTGACAATACAAGAATCCCCAAAATTCTCATATGACCACGACAAAGAAATTAACACGATAAGAGCAACATATTCATCATCTGCTTTGACATCTATGCTATGCGAATCTAACAAGATAACATTTAGTTGTTCTAGATGCTCCCTTAAAGGCGTTACTTCTTGCATCCTCAAGCTGAACAGACGTTACTTGAGATGTAGCTCGTTGGTTAAAGACGTCGTCATATACATACTTTCTAACTTCAACCACAAGCTTGCGACAGTTTTCTTAGCAGCGACTTCTATTATGATGTCATCAGACAATGATAGTATGATGGTTGAGTGGGCCTTCTCCTCCAAGGTGTTTTACTCCTCATCACCGAGCCCTATCTTCTTCATTTTCCTGGATAACAACCCTGACAACCCATGTAGTTAAGTATTGCATATATCTTGATTTGCCATATACCAAAGTTGTTCTTCCCTAAGAACTTTTTGATCTTCGTATTCACTAAAGTTATTCTTGTATTTCAAAAAACCCAACTGAAAACCAACTAGGGGCTATGATACCATTTGTTATGCACACAGACCGGGCAATCGACAATAACAACAAAGACAGCGATTAGCAAGAAAGTAAAGAACACATGGATTTACGTGGTTCACCAACACAACGTGTGGTGGTTAGTCCACGGGCACAGATAGATCCAGCTTCACTATACTTAAGGAGATTAATCTCTCGATAAATATTACAGAGAAGTATGAGAAGTATTATAGTACTTCTCCAAACGGCCATACCCTAATCCAATTTGGTAAAAATAAGGTTACATACCAGGTCCAACGCGGAAGCCCAAACAGGTACAAGCCATACATGGAGTTCCCCTGACCTCTAGCGAGTCCAGATCATCTGATTCAAGTCACATTAACAACCCATCTACTGTAATTTAGATTATTTGTTGATAGCTTGATGTAAAATTGCAGATTAACCACCGACATACCTACCATACATACAAGCCATATTAAATTTCTTTTGACAAGCGAATAAGTCGTCAAGCTCAATGATTCCATCTTGATTTTATGGTTTCACATTGATATTTGGTTGCTACGAGCTCCTTCTGGTGGTAAATATTCCCTTTTATAACATCACAAATTCATATAGTAATAACACTATTATAGGATAAATTTATCACTATATATGTATGTGGTTGTAATTCTAGACTATACCATTACAAGTATTTCAATTCTTTTTAAAGGTTGATGATAAAAAAAAAAATTCAAGGCCAACAAGCCGAGACATCATTCATAATAGCGAATCGAGGCATCACTCAGGGGCAATGCAGCCTAGTTATTCTGCTAACTAGAAGATTCGTTAGTATGTACTAACTAATATCCAAAATGTATGAACTAATATCCAAGTCTGCTGAGTATCTAGATAGCACAGACTAGTATTCAAAACATCACAAACTAGTATCCAGATAGCATATACCAACTAATATCCACAAACAACCAACTAGTATTCAATATGGATACTCTTATGTGTTATCTGGATACTAATTATGTGTTGTATGATACTATTCTATGTTGTCTAGATATTAGTATCATACAGTTTGGGCTAAGTTCTATTCACAAACTAATATCTAGACAACACAGAATAGTATCCAAACAGCACATAATTAGTATCCAGATAACACATAAGAGTATCCAGATAACCCATAAGAGTATCCATATTGAATAATAGTTGGTTGATTGTGGATATTAGTTGGTATCTGCTACCTGAATACTAGTATGTGTTATCTAGATACTTAGCAGACTTGAATATTAGTTCATACATTTTGGATATTAGTTAGTATATACTAACGAATCTTCAAGTTAGCAGAATCTCTAGGCTGCCCGCCCCATGCCGTTGTTCCTTTATACCTAATTAAACCGTAAACCCAAAGGCAAAAGCCTAACATTTAATCGTGTTGTTATTTGTTACTATGGATTACTAAACCGTAAACTCAAAAGGCAAAAGCCTAACATTTAATCATGTTACCATGGATGACTAAATAGCGGTGTTATTAAAGCTGAGTCGAGCCGAGCCGCTCGGCCCGACAGGTAGAACCACCACCCGGTCACAAAATCGGCTCGAAACAGTCTAAAAGCCACTCCGGGTTTATGTAGCGGTTGACGAGCGATCGAGGCGGTAAACCGCTTGAGCCGATTGAGCCGCTCGTCCGGTTTTTGCCATTCAGGCGTTAAATTTAATTAAAAAAATTGCAGAAAATTGAAAATTGAAATAAACCAAAAAAGTCGGGTTCTCAAACTGAATCCTTATTTCCATTTCACAATTTCGAAGGAAAGAGACGAGTTCTGATTAAGAAATAGCTATTCGCACTGCATGATGAGTGAAATAATTATCTACAACACTTCCTCACTTCAGTTAAAATGATTAATAACTTACTCAACACTTAATGACAAGAACATAGCCCACGAATTCATAGAATCATAGCTCAATAGCTCACAAAGTTGTCGAGCTATTGAAAATATTGCAATAGAAAATTGATTTCGTAGTTGATTTTAATTTTGGCCTTTAATATTGACTTACTAGCTCCATCTAGTAATGTTCAGGAGAGACTGTTATGTCGTCTTACACCATGACGTGTTCCAGTATCTAATTAGGCGTGAAACCCCTAAGCGAAGCGTTTTGCCATTGCCTTGCGCCTAGGCGCGCCTAAGCGTAAGATTTAGCGTGCCTTTTTGAACCATGATTTATAATGATAACGTTTATTAAGTACCGGTTCTCTAACGATTTTTAAACGGTCTAATACCGGTTGGACCACTTAAGTGCGAGCCGTTCGCATTACCGGGTCATACTCCAGTTCGGTTCTGACATCATTGCTAAATAGGACCGTACCGGTCGGTTCAACCTGGAAAATGGGAAGCGGACCAAAAACTATACCGTATGCGTGTTTGTGGCAGCGAAGTCATGCCGGCCGATTTTCTCGGTTAAACCAGACAGGGCCAAAATTTCGTTCGGTTTTGTTAATACCGTCGGTCCCGACTCCCGTGCTTACAACTTACAAGAAAACGTTTCCGTTTTATCATTTGTGTAAGGGTTAATACCTTGTTATGGCCTGAACTATGACCATGTAATCAACTTTGGCCAGTGGTTTGAGAAATTAACATCCTGGCCCGAACTATGCAGCATATAGACAAAATTGGCATGGAGCGTGGTTTGACCGTTTGTTTGGACGGTCAACACCGTTGACCGTTAGTCAACTGTCCAGGTCACTGCCATGTCAGCATAAAAAAATTATAATTTCATTTTTCTTTTTATTTCATTTACAAAATTGAATAATTAAAAAAAAAACTTTTGGCCCACCCATCCCCACCTTATCCCCTCACCTTCTTTCCTTTTCGATCAAACCCAAACAAACCCTATCTTCCTTCTTCTTCCTCCTTCTTCCCCGACGAGTCGCCGCCTCCATTCTCGCCGCCTCCAAACTGTAACTCATCACCTGATCCCCTGCGCCAAGGAACACCAGTGTTCCCTTGCTCTCCCCTTTCTCCCACGAAAACCCCCTTGCCTTCCACCACTAGGGCCCCCGCTCTCTCCGCCGCCGCCTCCGCCCAAGCTTCCCCCGCCGCTGTCTCTGCCTTTCGCTTCCGCATTCTCTTTCGCCTTCCCATTCCGCCGAACCAGGCACAAAACAAGCACATCGCCACCAGGATCAAAACCACCAATCCGGCCGCACTTGGAGCAATGATTCTGATCAGCTTGCTCCGCCGCCGCTTCCACGATGATGATTTTGAACCAGCTGCGGAACTAGGGCTCGAGGAAGGACTCAATTCCGAGCAGTGCTTCCCGATCTGTTTGTGTGAAGCGGCCCATCCCAGGGCGATTCCGCCACAGGAGAAAACAGAGACCTGCATCTCCAAAACAGGGGAGTCAAATTCGAAGCTTTCTCGACGGAAGGGAGCTCGAGGGAGGAGGCAGTTGAGGTTTTCCGGTTCACGACGTTTGAGGAAATCGGAAAGGCGGCAGCTTTCGACCTTGACATGGATGAACGGGATGCTTTCCCCGAACCTGTCGATGAGCAAATTGCCCGAATTTGTCCTGCCGGAGAAAGGGTAGTAGACGGTCAGAGTCTCGGCAAGAGAGCGCTTCAGGTGGGCGATGAAGCGATCAGTGGATTGGAGATTTGGGGTTTTCAGGGTTGGCGTAGAAGAGGATGAGTGGAGTGTAGGTTAAGGGGAAGAGCTTGTCGAAGAGGCAGAGCTTGTGTGGAGGTTTTGTTTTTACGGTTTCAGGGGAAGCTGGTGAAGATGATGCAGGCGGCGGCTCTCCGCTGCATTTGAAGTCGGAGAGAATGGAGGTGGCGGCTCGTCGGGGAAGAAGGAGGAAGAAGATGGAAGATAGGGTTTGTTTGGGTTTGATCGAAAAGGAAAGAAGGTGAGGGGATAAGGTGGGGATGGGTGGGCCAAAAGTTTTTGTTTTTTTTTTTTTAATTATTCAATTTTGTAAATGAAATAAAAAGAAAAATGAAATTATAATTTTTTTATGCTGACATGGCAGTGACCTGGTCAGTTGACTAACGGTCAACGGTGTTGACCGTCCAAACAAACGGTCAAACCACGCTCCAGGCCAATTTTGTCTATATGCTGCATAGTTCGGACCAGGATGTTAATTTCTCAAACCACTGGCCAAAGTTGATTACATGGTCATAGTTCAGGCCATAACAGGTATTAACCCTTTGTGTAACGAAAAGGAGGAGAAAAAAAAAACAAAAAACAAAATTGGCGTCCAAGGCCAAAGCAAAGTAGCAAACCGCCAAACCCTAATCCTTATATCGAATCAGAGGAAGAACTCCAGAGCGACAGACGCAGAACTCCAACCCCGCCGCTCCTCTCGTCCTCTCCGGTCTCCCTCGTTTCGAAGGGAAGGTCGCCATCTCTTGGTTCCTCTCTTCATTCCCGTTCAACCAAATTTTGGCTGCAATTTGTCGATCGATCAACGACCATGTCGTCGTCGGAGCAGGCCCCCCCGCCGCCATCAGAGGAGTTGAACTCACTCTCCGTTAACTCCGGCTCCGAATTGAATGCTTCCGCCTCCAACTCCCGGTTAGCTGTCTCATACCATCCTCCTCGTTTTTATTGCTTGGCCCGTTTTCTCAATTGGTTGAGACATAGTCTGCCTTCCTTATTGTCCTCTACTCGCGACCTGTATGGTTTCCAGGGAGTTGACTCCAGAGGAGAAGTTTCGGATTGTGAGAAGCGTGGGCGAAGAATGTATTCAAGAGGATGAGCTTCTCAATCTTCTAACGAAGAAACCCCAGCCGATTTGTTACGACGGATTCGAGCCTTCCGGCAGAATGCACATCGCCCAGGTACTCTTTAACTGTTCAAAGTATTATTATTGGGCAGGTTTCTTCTCTTTGCCAAGCAATGTCCGAAACTACCAACTTTTTATGGTTCGTAATTTTGCTGTCTTTTCATTCTGTTGGTTTGTTGGATAGGGAGTGATGAAGACCATCAATGTCAACAAACTGACATCTGCCGGTTGCAAAGTGAAGATTTGGATTGCGGATTGGTTTGCCCAGCTTAATAACAAAATGGGTGGCGACCTGAAGAAGATACGGGTTGTTGGGGAGTACTTGATTGAGATATGGAAGTCTGTTGGAATGGATCTCGAAAGTGGGAATGTTGAGTTCCTCTGGTCTTCAGATGAAATTAACTCCCGTGCTGCTGAGTACTGGCCGCTTGTTATGGATATTGCTCGCAGGAACAAGGTTCCCAGAATAATGAGGTAATCCAATGCTCAAAGTTTCATGCCCTCTTCTCAATTCAATAATTGTATGGCAAAGTTTAGAAATAAGCCTCTGTTGCTGATTAAACTCTTTGGTTCTTTAGGTGTGTTCAAATTATGGGTCGCTCAGAGAAGGACGAGTTGACAGCTGCTCAAATTCTGTACCCGTGTATGCAATGTGCCGACATATTTTTCCTCAAGGTGCTTTACTTTATCTGTAGGTTGAATCATTACTCTTTATTGATCCATTTGGTTGTTTTTATCAATCCGTGGTGGTTCTGTTTTTGTTGGTACCGTCGAGATGGAATGAACTTGTCTTTTTCTTTGAAAGAAAAATCTTAGTCAAGTTTAATAAGGGAATATAAGAGGTTTTTTTCAGTACCATAATAGGCAGCGCCTTCACTGAATCTCCTTAGTTATCTCTATAGTCTATACTAATGGTTTGCTTCATTACAATGTCAATGATACAATTCCATCACCTTCACTTGCTTCACTGATTTATTATTCTATATGAATCTCTAGGTTATCTATCAAATGTTGACAATTTAGATCTTGTAGTTGGTACCATTTGAATGGAGTAAACTTCTTGTTTTTATTTTGCGGTGCTACAATATCCTCTTTTTTATGGCATCTTTAAGCAATGTTCTTTATCTTTACATGTATCAGATTATATGCTATTAGATCTGTGGCATTCAGAATTTAGTGGTTTAATTGGCTTTATCATGCAGGCTGATATTTGTCAACTAGGAACGGATCAACGCAAAGTGAATATGCTGGCAAGAGAATACTGTGATGATATCAAGAGGAAAAACAAGCCCATCATCTTGTCCCACCGTCAGCTCCTTGTTCCTTTCTGAAATTCAGTTTCCATGAAAGTAGTTGCATATTTTCATTGTTCCTGAACTCTCATTGTCCTGGTTGCTCTGCTGTCAATGCAGACATGTTACCTGGTTTACAGGAAGGACAAGAGAAGATGTCAAAAAGTGATCCCTCCTCTGCGATTTACATGGAGGACAGTGAGGTAATCTAGCTGCCTTAAGCTTAAAAGCTTTTATATAAGAGAAGCAGGTGATACATGAGTATTGGAGTGATCAATTATTTTTCCCACGTTTTGATAGGGAGAAGTAAATGTCAAGATAAAGAAGGCTTTCTGTCCTCCTAAGGTTGTTGAAAATAATCCTTGCCTGGAGTACATCAAATACATAGTTTTGCCTTGGTTTAATGAATTCAAGGTGGAACGTGCTCCACAAAATGGCGGAGATAAGTAAGTGCCGCCATTACACTTAAGGTTTTCTGCAATCTTAATCCAGATTCTGGCGTTGGCTGCTGCCCTAGTTTGTGCTTTGGATCCTGTTATTATGATGAATGAGCGGTGTCTTGTATTATTGTCTCGCAGGACCTTCACAACAATTGAAGACCTTGAGGCTGACTATGCCAGTGGAGCGTTGCATCCTGGTGACCTGAAACCTTCTTTGTCAAAAGCCTTGAACAGGATCCTGCAGGTTAGCCCTTCACGTTTCTGATTCCTCCCTCACTGGTACTACTGAACAATAAGAAGTCGCACTGTGGCCGACACCTCACTTTTGTGCTTTTTCTCCAGCCTGTTCGTGATCATTTCGCCAACAATGCAAAAGCCAAGGATCTCGTTAAACGTGTCAAGGTTTGTCTTATTTCCCTCCCATCGGCAACATCTGATAATCCAAGCAATTGCTTGAACAATCTGGAGGTAATATCAACCTGACATTGAATGTCAATGTTTCTGTGTTTGCCAAAATATGCAGAGCTACCAAGTAACTAGATAATGTGGAGAAGAACGAGGAAGAATCTCTGCAATCTGGTGATCAAACATATAGTCTGGAGTCATCCTATGCGACTAGCAATATGATTTTAGTAGACTAAGGCAATCCAAGTTTGAGCTGGTTATCGTTACGATGATAGCAGCTTATTAAGTCCATTTTGATTCATGCTTTTGAAGGACTAAATTAGAATTTACAGTGACACCCTAGCTTTAGGATCAAGCAGACGTTTGCCGTTCTGTTTCTGCATTCACTCAAACTGCACAATAGCCCCTTATTTTATTCTCAGTATTTATGCATTTGGATTTATACTTGGTGTTGGGTATATATGCATTTTGTTTCGAGGGGAGACTTCGCAGCCTCGCGTGAAACGGGAAGAATTGTAGAGAGCATTCTTAATCTACAGGTAGCAATTTAGGGGTGAGCAAACGGTTCGGTAAATCCGCACCAAAATGAAACGAATTAAAATGAACCGAAACCGAAATAATTCTATTTGGTTCAGAATTCGGAAAGAAAATATGGATATTTCAAAATTCATGGTTCTTTCACTAAACTAAAATTTCGAATTACCGAACGAAAAATCGAAATACTATAATTACAAGCATCAAATGGTCGGGTTTTTTTATGTTTGTTGTTGTTTTTAGACTTAAATATTTGAAATATTTTATCACTTATGTGTTGAAAAGTTTGATTTTATCATTGATGATGCATATAATTGCATAGTTATTGTTTATATTAGGGTGAAAAATACTTTAAAAGTGAGAAGATACAAGTAGCCTCACAAATTCGGTTTTATGTGAAAATTCGAACTTAACCGAATTATAATTTGGTATTAACCGACCGAATCGAATTATAATTTGGTTCGAAATCGGTTTGAGATTTGTGAGAATTCGGGGACCCGGTATTAATAATTTTGGCTCGGTCGAAACTGAACCGACCAAGTGCCCACCTCTGGTAGCATCAGTTAGGTGACCGGTATAGGAAAATGCAGGAATTGATGACCACACCGATAACCAGTTATAATCATGGTTCAGGAAACTGTAAGGACACCATATTGGAGGTATTTTGTGGTACGACCGTGGTTCAATCGTTTCATAATGTTAAATATCATTTTTTAATAATAAAATAATTTTTTGTCAAAAAACCGGACCGATAAAATCAAGATATCATTTCGGAGTTATACTGGATTGTATCGGAAATATCGGACAATAAATAGTAAATAATCAAATAATAACACACAAACTAACTAGTAAGGCCCATGTTCTTAAAAAAAAGGCCATGGACAGCCATGGAGAAACCTTAGGCGCCCATCTCTCTCTCCCTCTGCATCTGGAAATCTTCTCTCGTCTCTCCCCTATGATAGAACCTGAGATTAGGGTTCTATCGAGAATTGGGGATTTACGGATTAAGAACAGAATTAGGGATTTGAGAAGAGAATGATAGAGAATCGGCCTAGGCCTTTAGAGGGATTGGGAACGAGAATTGAGAGGATTGGGAGAATAGGGTTTTGGAGAGTTTTCTTATTATTCTTCTTGACTGCCCATTACGTAAACCCCAATTACATATTTATAATGAAAGACTAGAAAAACCTAATAAATTATCCTAATATGACTCAAATACTACTAGATCTGTCAAATTACAACCCGACCCGTTGAACCGACCCGAAATCGCCCGAAAACTAGAAATTTTTGTAACCCGAAATCCTAATGACCCGAACCCGATAACCCGTGATTTTTTGGGTCGGGTTGGGTGGGTTAGCCGGTGGACCCGTTAGACTCGTTTTATTTAATATATTATCCTCAAAATATGATAAAATCACTCATAAATTGGTGGGATGTTTAAAAAAACTCACAAGGATTTGAATGACATGTTTGGAGTTTAAGGATAATCAAATATCATGTGTTTCTTGTAGTAGTATTACTCTTGTGATTGTTTTTTGACGATTTGCGCAATTTATATTTTATTTCATTGGGAGGATTTGAGAATATGTTAATTGACATGTGTTAGATAAACTATTGTCATGCATATGTGAATATTTGTGTTCTTTAAGAAAATATGAAGCATGTTTGATATTGTTTCTGAGAACGCTCATAACGCAAAATGACTTGTAACCCGACCCGAAACAGAATGGGTTGGGTCAATATTTGACCTAAAATAAGCCAACCAAACATGACCCGACCCATAACCGAAGTTCCCAACCCCAACACGACCCGATTGCCAGGTCTAAATACTACTAACCATAATAATAAATCCTGATAATTAATATAATGATAAAGATAGAAGCCCTAATAAATCGTGTTTCTATCATCCCCTCCCCCTTGACACCAACCTTGCCCTGAAGGTTGATCGACTCGATCACTTTCTTCACGTCTCCCAAGTCATACGCGCATTTGCTCCTCCATATCGTGCGCTTTCTTTTCTTCCAATCGTGCTCAATTCCTTGAACGAATCCCACCCCAGCAACTACGACCCTCATTGCTTCTTCTCCAACCATGTGGCTCAGACCGCATCCATGACCAATTGACCCTCTACCCTCTAACTCCACCAAGTAAGAAATAGAGAGTTTTTCTTCTTTGAGCACATCATCCAAGCCCACCAATTCTCCCTTCTTCTCTTTCAAGCCCATACAATAATAAACAAATTCAACTAAACAGCTCCGCTGAAGCCCAATTGAAGCCTGTAGCTTCCCATGCTTCAGCCCGAATTCCATCATCTGCTCCGCCCCCTTCTTTCTCAGCTGCTACCCGAGGCTTGGCCCAAACGAAGCCCACTTTGTCTCAATCCTCCGCCCATTTTGCGGATACACTCGGTCCAAAGCAGACCCGCCAGGCTTCCCCTCCAAAACCAGCCCGTGGCCAAGGCTAATGGCTTCGACCCGACCCACTCCCGCTGACCCATCCAGACCTATGGCCCAGACCACCCAACCCGTCGGGGCTGCTAGCAGTTGCGCGGCGCAACCTAGGGTTGCAAGAGGGGGCAACCCGTCGCCCTTCTCCTCTCCCAAGTTCGGCGACTGCTTCTTCCTCCCTAGCTCGCCTCCCGTCTCCGTCGTTGCGCCTCTCCCCGGCAGCCAGCAACTCCTCCCACGGCAACGAGGCAAGCTCCGCTCTACCATCTCCTTCAGCTCCTCCCTCCAGTTCGTCGTCGCTTCGAAGAAAGCCGCACCGCCCGCCAGAGGAGCACTGCCTCCGTCTCTCTTCTCCATTACCGGCGATGGTTTCTCCGGCGATGGAACATGATCTCCCATCCTCGCCTCTTCCCTGTCCCTTCCGAACAGGGACTCGACGTTAGCCGTCATCATTCGGGACACCCCTTCCTCGATTCGTGTCTCCGGAGGCCAGCCCCCTCCGGGATTCACCTCTAGACCAGGCGTCGCGCGAGGAAGCTCCTCGCCAACTGCTTCCGCCTCGGTCGGCGCCGCCCAGCCACGCGGCGCTTCCTCGAGCGCCACCACCGGCGCAGCCGCCGCCGCCACCGCACACCCAGCAGCCCCTGCCAGCACCGGTCTCCGCCGACCCCGCAGCCACCCCGGCGCAGCCGCTAGCGCCTGCCACCGGCGCTCCGCTCGCCCCGACCTCCCCGCCATCGCCGCGCACTGCGGCTCCTCCGCTCGCGGCCGGCCCGTTGTCTCCGCCTGCGGACAACGGTCGTCGCCCTCCTTGCATCGCCACCATCATGGCGTGGAGATCATCGAGCCGGGCCACACTCACCGGGACTCCTCCAACCGCTCCTAGCGTTCACCCTCGATCGGAGCCACGAGAGCACTGAGGCAGGTCTGCGCCATTTTGATCGTCTTTGCTCTGATACCAAATGATAGAACCTGAGATTAGGGTTCTATCGAGAATTGGGGATTTAGAGATTAAGAACAGAATTAGGGATTTGAGAAGAGAAAGATAGAGAATCGGCCTAGGCCTTTAGAGGGGTTGGGAACGAGAATTGAGAGGACTGGGAGAATAGGGTTTTGGAGAGTTTTCTTATTATTCTTCTTGATTGCCCATTACGTAAACCCCAATTACATATTTATAATGAAAGACTAGAAAAACCTAATAAACTATCCTAATATGACTCAAATACTACTAACCATAATAATAAATCCTGATAATTAATATAATGATAAAGATAGAAGCCCGAAAAAATCGTGTTTCTATCACCCTCTCTCATTTCGAAAACTAAAATTAAACCCAAAATCCAACCTTCTTTACGGATCGGTGCGTCTGAGGAGGAGAGAAGAGGAGCGGCGGAGTAGGGATCGACTCGACATATCGGTTGTGGGTCGCCACTCGCCGCCACTCGCCAGAGAAGAAGAGAAGAGGAATGGCGGAGTTGGGATCGACTTGACCTCTCGCCGGTCGCCAGAGGGAGAGGAGAAGAGAACAGGAGCGGCGGGACTGGGGTCTGGGGAAGAAGGAAACGATGATGGAGAGTCTCGATTCGCTCGTTCAATTAGGGATTAGCGTTTTGGCTTTGCTGTTTGGATGTCGATTTTCCTTTCTTTAAAAAAATTTAAGTGCTGAAACGATCATGTTTTCCTTTAAATAAGCCTACCGCCGGTTAGAACAAAACCGGGCAGTTTTTCTTTAAACCGTAAAAACTGGTCGACATGGTAAAAAGAACACCAGAAGCCTACCGTATCGTTCCTGGTCCGATTTTCAATTTTTCCGGTTGAACCGGCCGGTACGATCCGGTTTCCTGGTCCATGGTTATAATGAACTTGGTCGTCAATACACCGGCAGGTTATGTAGAGACAACCGAGTTTTTCTTGGTTAAAACCACCTAAGCCTACATATCGTTTCTTGGGTTACTGCTGGTTGCTGTCCTAGGTTTTGCCAGTGCCGAAGATTTTGGATTATCAAACGATATTCCCACAGGAAGGGGCTGAAAGTTTGGTACCGCTATTTGGAATATACTTAATATCGTATATAACTTATGACTATTTGGTATTATCAAATTTCGTTTTATTTTTTAGGGATTGAGATTCATTATGGGTTGCTATTCGGTATTTGGAATTGGGATTATTGATTGTGATTCATCCATATACATCCAACAAACTACATACATAATCTCATGGTTTAGGGATTATCGATTTTGATAATTATGGGGTTAATTGCATGGTTGGTCATTGAGGTTACAAAAGAAGTTTATGTTTGCTCACTGGAAATATTTAAATCAAATCTTGGTCACTCAAATTAGTTAAACAGTTCAAGTTTGGTCACTCTCCGTCCAACTCCGTTAAATTTGTCTGATGTGGCAGCCAACCCTCAAAGTTGACCGTTAAGTCAGTGACGTGGAAATTAAAAAATAATAAATAAAATAAATTTTAATCTTCTACCATTTTCAACTCATTTTCACAATAAATAAAGTAAAATAAATAAAAGAAAAAAATATTATAATTACAAATTGAAAAGGGACCGGCTGTCTGCATCGAACGAGTTATCTTTCCTGGCAGAGTTCACTCAGCGAGTCGAACACCAAACCCTCGAGCCTCGGCCTGAGAAGCGTCTTGTAACTACTCATCGCTCGATTGCTGAAGGATCTGCGATTGCCTGTGCCTCTTGCTTCGTCGGCCTCCTAACCAATCGCGTGCCAACGTACGGTTTTCGAATGCGCATTACTCAAATTCCATTCTATATCCGCCTGTCCCTGAGCAATTCTCTCACTGTTTTGTTCGCAGACGGAAGAGTGCAGTGGTCCCAAGTCGGGCCGCCGACTGTTCCGGCACCAGATCGAGTTGTTCCCATCGCTCCCTCCGTCTCTCGCTTTTGCTTATGGATGAATTCAAAAGCAACCTCGGTCGCCGGCGAAAGTATTCTATGAGAAAGAAGTGCAGAACATGACATGCTTCTCTTTCCCTGTTTTCTCCACCACCTTTGAATATCGGATCTTACTCGCTCATTCGACCATGGAACACCGTCCGCCCATGGAACGTGACCCAAGTGAGCGGCCTCCTCCTCCTCCCGATCACTGTCTTAACGAAATTTCAGAAATTTCATCCATGGAAGGCACACTCCGCGACTACCCAATCGTCTTCGTCGACGCGGGATTCCCCGACTGCCTCCGCCCGACATCGCGACACGCCGCCGAGGAAGTTTGATTCGTCGATATGAAGCACAACGTCGACAGCACCGATTTGATTCAATTGGGCGTCACTCTTTCAAACGAAAAAGGCACTGTCGCTGCGATCTGGCAGTTCAACCTGGAGTTCGACCTGGACTGAGACTTGCACGCCAAGGAATCTATCTGGTTCTTGAAAGCCCATGACGTTGATTTCGAGAAGCTGAAGATCAATGGGATCGAGCGGTTCTTGTTCACCGCCGCGTTCGGTGGGCTGATCGAAATGAGGAGCAGGCCGCTCAATTTGTAATTATAATATTTTTTTGTTTTATTTATTTTACTTTGAAAATGAGTTGGAAATGGTAAAAGATTAAAATTTATTTTATTTATTATTTTTTAATTGTCACGTCATTGACTTAACAATCAACTTTGAGGGTTGACTACCACTTCAGACAAATTTACGGAGTTGGACGGAGAGTGGCCAAACTTGAACCATTTAACTAATTTGAGTGACCAAGATTGGATTTAAATATTTTTAGTGACCAAACATGAACATTTTTTTATAATCTCAGTGACCAACCATGCAATTAACCCGATAATTATGTCACATGATTCACTCATTAAAGATCAGAGTATAGTATTATGCTCTAAAATTTGATGAACCAGAGGTCTAGATAGTGTCGTATTAGGCCCCGTTTAGTATCGATTTGTTGTGGTTGCGGTGGTGTTGTGTAAACAGATGTACAACCACAACAGGAAAAAAAACAGAAAACACAAACCTGTTTAGTTGATAATCTGAAAACTAATGAAAACAGACAACAAGAAACAAAAACGCGTTCAATTACTACTATTAGAATTAAAAACCAGAAAAGAGAGGAGGCGGCGGCGGGGGGAAAGGATTCGAAGTCGGCGACGGGAATCGAGAGGAGGAAGCGGCAGGGGTTGCGAGGTCGGGCGACAGGGGAAAGGGAGGTGGCGGGGGCAAAGGGACGAAATCGACGACGAGGGAGAGAGGAAGAAGTTGAGAGAGGGAGGGAGCTGTTGGGCGGCGGGTTTGGGAGAAAATGAGGGTAGGGTTGGCCGACTAGGGTTTGGAGGTGGGTTTGGGAGTTCAAAAAAAAGAGAATTTTTTTGCTTTAGGTGGGATTCGAATTGAGGGTTGTTTTAATGAAAACAAACGGGAATCCCGTGTAAAACATGTACAAGAATCAAATTCAAAGCAATAAATTGTTGTTTCTCAAATTTGGGACCTGTTGTGCAAATCTGATTCACAACAGAAAATAAAAACCCAACTAAACATGTTTTTTTTCTTGGTTTCTCCAATCTTGAAAAACTCACTCTCTGCTTGGTAGTGCGAGAGCCCAATGCATTCTGTTGTGCGAGATGCTTGCGAACAATGGCTAAATCTAGTGGTAATACCACTAATCTTGAACCTGAAGATCTCAGGTCAAATCACTTCAGTAAACAAATTATTGTGGCTTTGGAGCTTGGTGAAGAGGAAAAGATGCAGGTTCATCAATGGTAGTTTTTGGTGTAATACATATAGATCAACAAATCGATCACATCATCTATCTAACGACGTTGCAGGTGCGATCACGTGGTTCATGTCTTTACAACATTCTCCCAAATGTTGGTTTGAGGTATGAAGATATCGTTAGCCCTAACTGACCGACCTCTCTATGGAGCGGTCCGACAATTTCTTTCTGAACATAATAGTAAACTATTTGTGGTTGGCCTCAATCGACCTTTTTGTAATCACGTCGACCATAAAATTGTAAAGGTCGACCTCTTTGATGTTTATAGTCTTTCTAACGTACTGAATTTGTTTTTAGAAAAATGGTGCTTGAAGGCAAACATCAACATGATAAAGATGCCATTTTGAAAGAGTTGAAAGCTACATAAAATCATATGTTGGAGATTTATAGTGTTTTCAAGAAGTATAAGAAGCATATGCATGGTACATTGCAAATTTGTCGGTTCGATTTGCATAGTCACTGGAATGGTACTTGACAGTTTTGAGAGGTTGAAGGAACTATCACAAAATTGTGTCATGACCATTGGAAAAGAAAGTAAGTGACGATAGAAAAAACAAACTAAAATTTAGAGAAGTGGGAAAATAAGAAAAAGGGCTAATACCACTACAACACCCGAACTATGACAAAAATGTCATTTGTGTCCTATTCTTTTCAATATTCCATTTATGTCATGAACTATTATATTTTGTGTCATTTGTATCCTGCCAATTTCGTTGACCGTTAAAGATAACAGTTGACCAAACGGCGGTCAACTTAACATTGACTTTTGCTGACGTGGCAATGCCAAGTCATTGACACCTCACATTTTTAATTTAAATTAAATAAAACTTTGAAAATAAAAAATTGGAAAAACTTTAAATTCAAGAATATTACTAAATAATATTCTAAAACCCTAAAATAAAATAAAAAAACCTGCATTGATCTCGTCGTCTCCTCCAATTCCTCCTCCTGCCCTCCTTACCTTGATTTCTCCTCAAACTCAACCCACTTCGTCGTTGTTGTATTATAGGGAGAAGTTTCTCCTCACGATGGGAGGGCTTCTGGATCCCCTGCCATCAATCCAAATCGAGCTCCTAACTACCACCGTCGTCTTTCGCCCAAATCCAAATCGGAATCTTAGCTGCCACTGCCATCTTCCACCCAATCGCCTAAGTTCGACCCCATTGCCTTCTTCGTCGCACCGTCGCTGCCTTCTTCCTCCACAACGCCGGCGACACCTCACATATCCTCTATCTCCAATCGAAATCCCAGTCCATCGACTGAACACTTTGTCGCCCTCATATCGATTGGCACAAATAGAAAACCTTCTTTGTTGCCTTCCTGGAGAATGTCGAGCTGAGATTTAAACTTCAACCCGCAGATTTGAATCTGGCGAAGAGATCTCAAAGCGAGCTTTTCCTTCTCCGAATCTGGCCCCGACTGCGACAAAACGATGGTGTTCAGATGGTGGAGGACGCCAGATCTAAGCAGCGAATCGAGATCGTGGAGAAGGCTGAAGAGAGTTGAGGAAGCGAAGTCTTGGTCGCTGGAAGAGCATCTTGCCGCCGGTAAGAGGAAGCGGCCGAGCAAGCTCGGGAGGGATTGCAGTCGCCGCGAAGTGGGAGGATTGTGGTGACGGCGGATTGGGTCAGGTAAGAGGAAGCGGCGGACCAAGCTCGGGAGGGGGATTGGGTAGATGAGATTAGGGATTTTTAACTTTTTGTTCTTTTTCTTTTTTTAATTGTTATTTAATTATTTAAAAATAACACATCATATGCCACGTCAATGCTGACTAGATTTTCTGTTAAAAACTAACGGTCAACAAAAGTCAACACTAACGGAATCATAGTTCAGGACACAAATGGAATATTGGAAACAATAGGACACAAGTGGCATTTTCGCGATAGTTCGGGTGTTGTAGTGGTATTAGCCCTAAGAAAAATGAATGCAAATTGTAACAACATGATAGACGGCTTGTTGAAGGAGAAATATCAACGGAATGCTAACGCGAAAGTATATCAAATTCCACAAGTAATTAAGTTTGACTGCAATTGGTGTTTACTATTATTATATGTTATTGGCATGGTGAAGCAATTGAAATCAGTAGTGGTACCTCTCTACAAACCATGCATATAATGCTCTAATTACACATTTTTATTCCCTCATTTCTTGAGCGTTTAGGATTGATTTCTTGCGTATTAATCCAATTTTACCCGATGTTGTTCACATTTATGATGTTTCGGGTCTTAGAGCATGAATGAGGGCTTGTGAGCAAGTTTCGGGGCATTTGCAGAGAGGACAGGATTTGGAGATTCTGAAGGCAACTTACACGGTTTGGGAAGTCTATTCGCTGACTATGGATCAGTTATATGGACCGTGGAACACAAGCAGAGAATTCCACGATCAAAGGGATGTTATTCCCCAGTTGGGGAATAGAAGGAGTCGACCGGGTAATTGAATTTGAGGCTACTAACCCAAGCACACCGTTTTGATGTTACACGGTTTTCCACGGCCACGTAACACGAACAGGGAACACCCTGGCTGCATGTATAGAGAAGATTTTTTGGTTTTTCTATAAGGATGTGATTTTTAGACCTTAAAACGAGTTGCGAGCTTTGTAGATAGAAAAAGTGACAAAAGACCACCGAAGGAGCGATTTGGAGCATCTATAGTGACCATTGGAGCTCGTTTCCCTTCTGTTGGAATGGCGTACGACTATTGGGAAAAGATTTCATCGTAACCCGATGATTTCCACTTCAACCATCTTGTTCACTTATTCCTCTATGGAGTAAACCTCCTCTGCACTTGGGTATCAACAACCCTAGCTTTGTATGTTAGGATAGTTGTTGTATGAAGTATGAACCCTTGATTCCTGAATATTGGCATTATTTATGCAATTGAGGCATTTTCCATAATTGATTGAGTCATGATCACATATATTCAATTTCTACTTTAACCTAAGAGAGATAAAATCTAATAAGGTTGATAGAGCACCCTAAATTGCAAGTAGTGAATTGATTACACGAGAGTGAATAAATTTATTGCTTCGTACTGGATTCAAAACCCAGTAGTCGAAGTTTAGCTGAATTGCCTTGGTAGTTTATTCCAGTTGAGGATAATCACTCTCCGGATACTCTATTCAAGAGGGTCTGGATTGCTTTGGTCGAGATTCAGACTATCTCAGAACTTTCCACAGTTTAAATGTCAACAGAAATTAATTAAGGAGAATTACAACTCGACCTAACTACTGCTTAAGGGGACACATACCTGAGTGACTTTTGCATATGAATCAATCATCAGTGATTAGGTTTTCCACTTAGTTTTAGTAATCTTCACTTCAATTCCAACACTGGATGACAACATCAATCGCCGAGTAATAGTAGGGTCCAGGTTGACAAATAAGCTTAAATCCACTATACTGCATCTTGCTTCGTTGTTGCACTTGACTACTTCTTAGTGTGTTGGTTTTAGTGAGTCAATGTTTTTGGATCCGTTGATGGACAGAGCTTGATTAGTAGGCAAAGTG